CGACGATTCCTAAAAAGTCAAGGCTCGCCCACGCAAATCAACATCACCATCGGATAGGGTAAGACTTCCGCTACCCGATGGTTACGTTGGTTTGCGTGGACTTGTCTTGAATTTCTAGAAATCAACTTATCCTGACAACCAATGCCTACTGTGATTATATACACTCTTAGCTTGATTTAGAAAAATTTTACTCAAAAAATGCCTTAATGGCAGAGTTTTTAATGTGTCCGGATTTGTTCGTGGTCAACCTTCATCTATTCCGCCCAAAAAAGTTAGGTTTTTCATTTTTTTTCATAGTGGGTAATGATATTTTTTCAAATTGTCCAATTGTGTCAATACTTAGGTGAACGATTCCATTCTTGATTAATGCAATAGTTTATACTCAATTCAATGAAGTTCGTGATTTTGCCAACCCGACCACTGTGAGGTCTGCCAACGCTTTCCTTAGCTCAATAGGTAAAGGCGCAGCTCTATAAAACAAGACCATGCTGGAGGCAGCTGGGTTCCATTTCCGATCTGGTCTGGGAATCTTTTGGGTTGGAAAATTTCTCGTTTCCCTGGGCATAGAGTATGATTCTCCTTCCACACAATTATTCTAATGCAAAAATGGTACAGGCTTTGAAAGCTCTTGTCCATTGATTTTCATCAAAGTATGTAGCATGAAGTTAGAAGAAGTTCCCCGAACTTTTCTAAAGTTCTCTGAAATTAAACGAAGTTTACTTAATTTCTATGTAGTTCCCAAAACTTGTTCCCGTTTCTACGTAGCCACATTAAAGGACGAACACGAAATTATTGCGACACATTCAACAGGGCATAACTTTTTTACCATTGGGTAAAAATCAACCAAATTTTGCACACTTTCTCATTGATGTGTATTGTGTACATGCTGTCAAACTCGAAGTCGTGTTTTTCGATTCAACGAAAATGGAGGTGAACCAACGCGAGTTGAGAGAACACATTCTTTCCAAACACCTGGAATTTCCTGACCTGTCGCACCGGCAGTTGGGAAAAATGTTGAACATTCACCATTCAACCGTCTCCAGAGTGTTGAAGCGGTTCCAGGAGCGGTTGACGTTGGACCACGACAAAGGAGCTGGAAGAAAACCGGAGAACAAAAAGACGGAGGGAAAGGTGAAGCGGATGATTAAAGCAAATCCCAACGTCTCAAGCCGTGATTTGGCTAAAAAGATCGGCATGTCGCAGAGCTACGTCCAGAATGCAAAGAAGAGAGCTGGACTACATACATACAAGGTACAGCACTTCCCAAACCACGATGAGCGCCAACAATGGACGGCTAAAACTCGGGCACGGAAGCTCTACGAGAAGATGCTGATAAAATATGGCTGCTGTGTGATGGACGACGAAACGTATATAAAAGCCGATTTTAAGCAAATTCCGGGGTTGGAGTTTTTCACCGGCAAGAGCAAGTTCGATGTGGATGATAAATTTAAGAAGAAGAAAATGTCGAAGTTCGCCTCCAAATATCTCATTTGGCAGGCCATCTGCTCTTGCGGACTGAGGAGTGAGCCTTTCGTGACAAAGGGCACAGTAAATGGCGAGATCTACAAATCTGAGTGCCTCGAGAAGCGCCTTTTGCCGTTCTTGCAGCAGCACGACGAAGCTCCGCTATTTTGGCCAGATTTGGCATCATGCCCCTATTCTAAAAGTGTCCTGGAGTGGTATGAGGCCAATTCTGTCCATTTTGTTCCAAAGGACATGAATCCGCCAAACTGTCCGGAGCTGCGCCCGGTGGAGCAGTACTGGGCAATAATGAAGCGGGAACTTCGGAAAAGCAAGAAGACAGTCAAAGACGAGAAGGACATGTTAAGAAAATGGAAAAAAAACTGAGAAACTGGTACCGGATGACACTGTAAAGACTTTGATGGAGGACATCAAGCGAAAATGCGTTCAATTTTACACTCAAGGCTCCATCGATTAACTTTTCTTTTGATTTTTGAAGTAAATATATGTATAAAACTACCCTAAAATTTTGGTTTGATTCTAAACATTATAAGAAAATTGGCATGACATTTTCGGTGTCGCAATAATTTCGTGTTCGCCCTTTACATATGTGGAACTTCATGCAAAATAACTCTTTACTCCTAGGGTAAAATACCATAAACAGCTGACAATCTGTGCATGAAATCTAGTGAACTTTGTCTTATCTCTTCACTCCACAATGGTACCAGTGAGGCGCCGTCTCTTCACGCAAAGCTTGACAGTATCTTATGGGATTTTCATAGGAGTGAAAGGGTAAGGAAATGTCCACCATATTTCACGCACAGACTGACGTTTGAGCGTTATTAACCAGTAATATTTTTCACTGTGCTTTTTGTAAGTAAACTTATGAATGTTTTTTTTTTGTATTTAGCACAAAATATTCTGTTGAAGGATATTAATGTTTAAATTAAAAAAAGTAGAAATTTTTCTAATAAAGCAAGAAATAAAACTAGGCTAAGTGTGCCAGTTTAAGGCCCTAGTGGTGCTCGAACTGGCCCTTACTTAAATTCCCACATTCATCAGGTTCAAATTACACATTTTGACGTTGGATAACGTCTTTCGGCAACATACGGGGGTACAAAATTGAAAACAGTCATTTTGGATGCGTTACGAAAAATTAAAAGATTTTGAACGATAATAACTCAACCGTCTCTCGATAGATTTACGAGATAATGGCATCAATCGATTGGAAATATTTCTAGCAATTTGCTGAATGTTTCAAAACTATTGATTTCATTCTGTAAACTATTGAAAAATGGTTAAAAGTAAACCATTGTCTAAAGATGGTGAAAATCGATTGATTTTTTTAATATTCTTATACTTTCTCCAACCGAGACATCAGATGCGAGTATCAGACACCTCTGATATTTTCTGTTCTACTATATAAGCGTCCAACAAGGTCACCCGTTCCATCATTGTCTATCCGATCGTCGACCCAGCAGCAGAGCAGCAGAGCAGCAGAGCAGCAGCACCAGAGCAGCGGAAGCAGAGCAACGGCATCAGAGCAGCGGCAGCAGAGCCTGGGGGCGAAAGGGCAACTACGCCGAGTGCGTTGGTGCCAGTGCTCCGGTATACTGGGCCGCCGTCATGGAATGCCCAGCTGCTGCAGTTCTCAGTCGGTCGTATTCACCGTGTGCTCCGCAAGGGCAACTACGCCGAGCGCGTTGGAAAAATGGCCCTTTTCAGGGCCACAACATTATCAAGAAAGAGTTTAACCATAGAGGTAACTCTAAGACCACTGGGTCCCGAAGAAAATCATTATTATTTTTGGCTCACTCAGTACCAGAACAACGGTCCCAAGCAGTCCCAAGCTATTTCACTCACCCCTGCATGTTCTGCATGAATCCACACACCCCTGATGTTATCTGTCAAACTTTCATAGCGAATCAAAACAAACATAGTGTAGTAATAGAATTTCAACTAGAATAGGGTACGTTAATCGTTTGCTTGGTACCAATAGGCTACTAAAGTGGTGAGTCAATTTAAAATCGTTAGTTTCGTATTGATTGTTGGTTTAACGTACGTATGCGAGTATCTGACACCTCTAATATTTTCTGTTCTACTATATAAGCGTCCAACAAGGTCGCCCGTTCCATCATTGTCAACAACATCAGCCCAACAAAACGGCTCTTTTCAGGGCCACCAAACTTTCGCAAAAGAGTTATTAAGAAATATTCCTAAAATATAATATACACAATTAAGTACAACACATAACAGACGTTATCCAACGCCAACCCTGCGGTCGTATCTAGTATACAACCCTTCCAACTTTTTGCATTATTTTCAATTTTTTTACGATACAAGATTCGAACATATGTTTAATTTGAAAATGTATTTCAAATTTGGTTTAGTCCCTAGGGCAACAAACTGGACCACAAGTGTCAAAACTAGTAAACTAACCCTACGTAAAATAGATCCAAACAATTAGTGCTTAATCTTAATAGGAAAAATAGCCGTTCCTGGTTTCTTTGAGACAGCTAGCTGGGAATCTTAGCCTGGGACCTTAGCCATAGTAGTGGAACAAAGTTTGGTAGGATCTTTTTTCGCCCCTCCTTTCCCTTTTAGATTAATCTTTCCAAAATTTTTAGTACAAAGTAATTGGAGTAGATCTTTGTGTTGGGGTTCGAGCAAAAGTTTTCAATTTCTACAAAGTTTGATAAAATTCTATAACGTTATCCGAATTCCTTCAAAATTTACTGAGCTTCTACAACATTTGCTGCACTTTTAGAAAGATTGCTGAATTTCTACGCAGTTCCCTGAACTTTTTCGAAGTTTTCTTAAGTTCTGCGAAATTTCGTGAAGATGTAGGAAGATCCTTGAAGTTCAATAACTTCTACAAATTGCAAAAAAATCACATAACCGTTATTGGAAATCTTTCTCATTTACCTTCAAGATGGATGCTTAAGGTATACTTTGATGCAATAAGACCACTGAAAAAACGCATGGGTTTCGTAGAATAATAGAAAATATTGCATATTTTGCCCCGAATAAGATTCCCAGCAGAATATTTTTGTCACACCGGTTTCAGCATACATTGGTTCATTTCGATGCTACAGTTTCTAGGGTGGCGTATCGAATAATTGGTTTGTTTACCTGCTATTCCCTTTGTACTTTGATGTGTGAACTTATGTTTTCAACTTTCAATTATTTTAACATCAGTCTAAAAACCAAAGCAACCCGCAACATTTTCATAAATAAGGCTGACAAGTTCGGGTCACACAAGTTGAGGGGAGCCGTAAGTTTCCACTAAGGACGCAATGGCCAAGAAGAAAATAGTTTCTGGTATTGACGACACCCCCAAACTTTTCCACAATAAAAATTGATATTGTTTGGTTTATATTTGTGGATAGAAGTGCTGTCAGATGTACGGCGTTTCTTCAGCAACTATTTTTGTTATTCCTTTATTCACCATTCGTAGGTACATTCGATAAAAAAAAACATCTTCAAGGGACACCTAATGGATTTCTTTCAGATTCCAGCAAATAAAACGTCAGTATTACTAAGTTTACCTTTAATTGTATTGACTATCCCTACCAAAACTGGAAGATTTAAGTACGTAAGGCGTTTGTACCAGATTCGATTTTTATTTCCTTGCAAAACAATACCGATTTTTTTTTCAAGCGACTGTGATTTCTCGGCACAGATTTGTACCTCACCGGGACAAAGGTGGGATGAACATAATCTTACACTGACACGGGCATCATCCATCTTTCCGCTGCACCCATTTTGTCTCGCTCAGCAAACAGTTTGTCGTATATGGCTTACTTCGATGGACCATCCGTTGTGATTTTCCGATTCCCGGTGCGATGATTTATTTATGAAATTTTACTTGGCTTCCTTGCTTACTTTTCGGTGATTTGTGTTTTTTTTTTCTCTCAATGGAAACCATATTTTATGCAGAGTTTTATTTCTCGTCCGTTTTATAGGGGAGCAAAACTTTCTCCAAACGGTGAAGCAAACAGTGTACGATAAAAAAAAAAACAAAATAAGGTAGTTGTTCGGAAGTAGCCGGAAGTAGCAGGAAGAGGGCGTTGAATTTTTCTTTTTTGTTGCTACTAGTTACGTAATATAAATAAAACAAAAACAGACTCAAGTGCACTTGTCGAACGAGTTTCGCATCTCTCTCTCTCTACCTCGCTTATCGTAATCTGAGATGTAATTTACATCCAAAGCAGTCATCGTTCGGAAATTGTTGATTTTTGGTTGTTCGAAGAAACGAAAGAGAGAAGGTAATAGGATTATGATAATGAGTGAAATTTAAGCTAACTTCACGAGGTAGTTTGGTGCACGCACAATGGTTAAAGAACGAAAATAAGAACAAATACACAATTTTAACACTTACTTATGTTTATTAATTTTAAGAAAGAAAAAGTGAGAGGCACAAATTTTGACATACCTCAGCATTCGCAATCCAACATATCGACAAATCGCCGCTCACTTTGACCTCTTCGGATGACGTTAATAAAACATAACGCTTAGGATTAACAAACTCATTATACAACGCACAGCTTGCTCGGTTAATAAATATTCAAGATTTTTTTTGTAAGGGGAAAAAAAGAAAGAATATATAGAACACGCACACACACACACACGTAACGATTTTTCAACGCCGACACGAACGATGGTGGTGGTGTGGTGTTAGTGTGATTTTCTGCCACTATCGATTGTGGTGCGCTATTGTTTTCCGCTGCCGCCGCCGGTCGCCATTGTTTGTATGTGTGTGAGTGATTAATCGTGTGCGGCTTGCATCGGTGGTATTGGTGGGAGGAAATGGTTGCCAGTTTCAAACAAATAAATACATATTTTCAGGATAGGAGTACGGAACGAGCACGGTAAATTTTGTTGTCGGTTTTTAGTTTTTTTTTTATTCATGTCACGCCAATCATCGCTCTTCACCATGCTGGTCGCCTGTCGGAAACGAAAATATGCCGAATTTTATAATTTTGGATTTTTTAAGAACATGCGGAATCGTGGGATGGCTGCCCTTCTAGCAAAACTATGATTTACTGTAAATATACCCAAGTTGCTATAATGTCGTGCTGTCTTATTTGTACAGTGAATCGGAACGTCAAAACGAGTAATACGAGTATTCATTATGCGTGCCTACTACGGCACGTTGGAAGCCAAATCGGGTCAGTGCTGCCAGTAACGATTGTATTGTATATCCTTATTATAGAGACTCTCAGAGAACCAGTAATGATTATATTTACAGCGGCGTTAGGAAATATGGGTCAAGTTTTAAATAGAGCAGAAAAAGCTTTGTTTTAGAAATCTCTAAGGGTAGACCTGCCGAGTAAAGAAATTCAGAAATATGGGTTAGTTAGTTAGAGCGAGGATAGGATTCAATACCAAGCGAAGCGGCTTTATCAAAGTTTAGAGAACTAGCGTATTGAATATTAAGCTGAATAACTAATATTTCAAAAATAATTAAATTGAACCGAATTCATTGATTCTAAATGCCATGCAATAATTGTTTTGTTTATCATCGGAAAACTGGATGTGCAAATTTCCATAATCTTTAAAATCAAGCCCAACTACAGCACATCCGCCCCATTGAAGAATAAAAAATTACCCCTTAATCGGATTTAAATTGCCATCACATTTACGCTAATGAAGTTTCCTTCAACTGAGCGATAACCTTTTTCAAAAGCAGAGTCTGCTTCTGACCACCGTAAGGGAAAGTGACAAGTGACCGAACCTGGTAGTTCGGTGGAGATGAAGGTTCCAATCTTGCTACTGCTACTGGCAGTCATACTGTTTGAAAATGTACCACCATTTTGTGTTTTCCGTCCAAAGCCGAGCTGTAATTCCTTTTTTACGTTTCTCAGGAATGTCTTGGACAGCGAACAACCCCGCATCAAGCAAGACCTACCGCGGGACACAATGGTGGTGGAACACAGCAGCATCGTACAACTCCTCAACGCGGAGGACGACGGCCGAATCAGAGGACGACGCCTGGAGCCGACAGATCTGGAAAACTAATCATGCCGAACCAACCTAATAAGAGAGGCCCGACAACTCCTAGAGGCAATCAACAGCAGCGGACAACTCCGGTAAGATCAGATTGAATCAAAGCAGTTTACAACGATGGCTTGATCCTTCTTTTTCTCATTTTAGAGAAGAAACAATGTTAACCCTGCTATGGTGAGTACCTGCTCGTGAAAGTTCTCGCATAGGGTTCCACGCTACTTCGCCTTGCGGAGCCCATTTCCGTCGTATCCGTTAAAAAAAAACGATGAAAGCCAACGCATCTTTTTAAATAAATGTTCCATAAATATATCGCCATGGAACTCACGAACGACATCTCGCGAGCTATTCGTGGAAAAAAGCTTGCTTGCCAAGTCTCAAACAATGTTGGGTACAAGTTCGAATAGGATGTATAGAAATGTCAAAGTGATGGGGGATTCACCCAACTAATCATATTTAAATAAATGCGTGTGGCCAAAGGCTTCAGCTAACCTAAGTTATTTACCTACAAGTAAAAATATTACGAAGCAAAGCGGAGTACGACGAAGTGGCATTAAACCCTATGATAAAATTAAAACCTATTTGTCACGTGGCATTTCATCATTTCAGAATGGAAAATTACAATCTCAGCAGCAACGTACAACTCCTCAACGCGGAGGACGACCGCCGAATCAGAGGACGACGCCTGGTCGATTCAGCGCTGGAGCCGACAGATCTGGAAGACTGGTCATGTCGACCCAACCTAATAAGAAAGGCCCGACAACTCGTAGAGGCAATCAACAGCAGCGGACAACTCCGGTAAGATCAGATTGAATCAAAGCAGTTTACAAAACGATGGCTTGTACCTTCTTTTTCTCATTTCAGAGAAGAAACAATGTTAACCCTGCTATGGTGAGTACCTGCTCGTGAAAGTTCTCGCATAGGGTTTCACGCTACTTTGTCTTGCGGAGGCCATTTTCGTCGTATCCGTTAAAAAACGATGGAAGCCATCGCACAGACAAACGGACGTATCTTTTGAAATAAATGCTATTCGTGGAAAAAAGCTTGCTTGCCAAGCCTCAAACAATGTTGCGTACAAGTTCGATAGGATGTATAGAAACGTCAAAGTGAATCCCCCACGCAACTATCTAAATAAAATACGTGTACGACGATAGAGGAAAAAGAGGTACGTCTGTTTATCTGTAGCCAAAGGCTTCAGGGAACCGTTTGCATCAAGTGATTAGCTTACAAGTAAAAATATCATTAGTGTAACAATATACCGACGCAAAGTGGAGTTCGACGAAGTGGCGTTAAACCCCATGATAAAATTGAAACCTTCTTGCCACGTGGCATTTCATCACGTTTCGTCCATCATTTCAGAATGGAAGATTACAGCAGCCACAACAACAGCGGACAACTGCAAAGGTATGAAACATTGCATTCGAATATGTTCACTGCCTTTTTATTGTTGTTGCCAAAGAGCTACTGGACTACAACATTGTAACTGAAAACCTTTTCTAATTCTCATCAACAGAAACCAGTTGCAGCTGGAAGAACACCCCCTAGGGTAAGATTCTATAACGACTCGATAGTAGTCACATTTCCGAAACTCTAGCTCGTCATATGTTTAGGGATCTCCGAATTTTTAAGTGCCACAGACAAAGAGACATAACACTAGCATATTTTTCATGGAACACGCAACACACGGTCAATTTAAAATGATCGTAGTTGGCAGTATCAGTCAATTCCCTTGAGTTCGACGTTTACACACTACGACCCTTGACAGCGTACTCAACAGATGGCGGTAGTGCGGTATTTTTGATCAATGATTGATGGAGGTTGAAACAAAAAAAAAATACAAAAAATCCTCATTCTAGTAAATTTTTAAGTGTCCATAATTTTAAACAATTCAAAATTTAATTAAATTTTCAAAAAATGGACACACAAATTTGAGATATTTAGGTTTTTTACATTTTTTGGATTTCTTTTTTTTTATATTTTGCCCAGAAAAAAAAAAACATTATTTTTCTCTACACTTTTGTCTCAGACGTCATTTCAATCAGAAGTTCCGATTCCATGTTATTTTTTTTTTAAAGGCGCTATTTTTAAAATTTTACAAGATCCACAATGGCAGAATTTTAGCAAAAATGTGTATCCATTCCCATAACAAACAATTATACAACTTGGATGAAACAAAATCGGAGAAGGTTGATTGAAAAAATTCAGTTTATTGTTCGCTATTTTGCCTGGAACTGCTCGAAATACGGTTGGTCATATCAAGTATATTAATTTTAATCTACTTAAGTACTATTTAGCTATTTAATTTATGTGGTTAAATCAAGGGGTAGGTCATTCTGCACACCAATCTTGGGTCATCTTATTATTATTATTATTTAACTTTATTAATGAGGCTTTTCGGGTCATCTTTTTTATCAGTGTGCCGCAAGTGTGCTGCAGGTGTGCCGGTTATAGAGCAAGCTGCGATTGTTTGTAAAATACCCAGCCCGGCAACCCGGTATTTCTGACACCTTGAATGTTTTGCTTTGAAATCGCAAGCATAGTTTGGATTGAGGATGACGCGGCAAGTGTCGGGTGTGCGAAATTTTGGTATTTTGTGTCATAGGATAGTAAAAGTCCTGTGGTTTATAATGCCCTCAAAGGCAGACTAGCAACCTAGTGATGTGAAAAGCAACGGTCTATCAGCGACCGAAAAGAGTTGGAACCGGTGGGAAACATTGTAGGAGACCGACTATAGAGGATGATGAATAGACTTCTGTAACTTGTTTTGTATGAGTTGCAGCATTATTTGAATTAAGGGTACTAATGGGGTCTGATTAACTGCCTCTTTTTCTTGAGCCCACTCTAGAACCTACATTTCGTATTTAGATCTATAATTGAACTGCTGGTCTGAGTTCCTCAGTCAGTCAAACAGCACGTTATGGTGAACAACTTCAATGACAGTTGTCCAGCAGTGCTCCCACTTTATTTACAACAATCCAATGCCTACGTGCCGAAGGTGTGTCGATGGATGCTGTGCCAAGCTGTGCCGAAATTAATTTCGACAAAATGTGCTGAATAACTTACCACTTGGGTTAAATTCTAACTTTGAATGAAAGTTCACGTTACTCATATTGAAAGGAACGCTACGAAGTTTTCGATGTTTTGTAATAAATGCGGTTGTGTATACGATCGTTTTACAACA